ATATATATATATATATATATATATACACACACACACACACACACACACACACACACACACACACACACCCAACAGGATAAAAAGGAAAGGGGGGAAATAGCTGGAAAAGAAGAATTCCACAATCCAGTGGTACGTCCTAGAGTTCTGTCCCTCTGAGCAGTGATCCATGCCCAAACTCCAAAGTGCACGGCTTCTCCAGTCCTACCAGCCTCTGTCCACCAAGCATGTCTGTTTAGGAGAAGAGTCAACATGGTCTTTTTCACCCTTCCTTCTAGGCTGGAGCTTCAATTTGAAGAGGCAGCGATGGGTTTATCCAGTTCAAGGTCAAGGCTGGAACTACTGGGATGCAAGCTGCTGTAGCAAGATTTGCAGACTCTGCTGGGTTCAAAGAGCTGTTGACTGGGAACTGGCACCTTCTGGTTACAGCAACTGGAGCAAAACACATTCCCACAATTCCTTGGATCAAGAACAGAAAGAGAGGAGAGAAATGGAAGAAAAAACAATTAGAAGTAATTTGATTTAGCGCGACAAGTTTTAATATTACAGTGTGCCTCTGCAGGTGAACAAAGTGCTAGTGAAAGGGGTCAGACTGATAGCCCTGGAGACTGCAGGTATTCTCTAGACAACAGAGCAGAGGCAGGGCAAGCTTCCCCTTCCAACCACACCCCTGTGTTTCACCACTGATGGGACCACCTCTAAAGCAGATAAGAGATTGAGTCTCCCATTTGTGATTCAATCACTGGCCTCTACTAAGACTTAGGTGCTTTTGAAATTTTACCCCAAGTGACTTGGGCAGCTATGTCCCATTTTCAGTGGGACTCACAGGCGTTTAACACTACAGTTGCACTAGGGGGTTTACAGTGGCAGAGCTGCACTGATGCAGCTTGCAACGTTGTAAGCTCCCTAATGTAACCCACAAACAGTGCTGTCTACACTGATGCTTAGGTCGGTGTCACTTACATCGCTTGGGGGGGGAAGGGGGAGAAAGGGGGTGCTTTTTCACACCCCTGAGTGATATAAGTTACACCGCAGTACGTGCTAGTGTAGATATAGCCTAAGGGCTGGTCCCCACTTAGTCCGGACTTCGGACTAAGGTACGCAAATTCAGCTACGTTAATAACGTA